TGATCGACATGCGTGTAAAACTGAAGTCGAGGTAGCGAGGAAGTACTTTCTTCACTGTCTTAGTTTTGAGTTAAAATCGCGTTTTAGTCCTCATTTTTCGGATCCGAACGTTGTGTTTGTAAGTTCTGCCTTTGGACCATCATTTCAGGTATGTGATGATGGTGTTATGCTCTGTGGGCGTGATGAAGATTCTCAAATCAAATTAGTCACTAGTCCCCTTACAAAAGATGAATTTGAAGATTGCGATGGGTTGAATGATGAAATTACGGCCTACGTGGCTAATCCAAAGGACAACGTACTTTTTTTTATTTTTCGATATTCTTAGACACTATTCCTTGGAACGAAAGGTCTATTCTTGGTTAAATATGACAGGTGTACGCATAAGGTGTTGTCAAGATGGAATGTAAGTGTGTCTAGATAATCCTATCTTGTCAGTCTTCCCATTCAAGAACAATAGGATCAATTGCTTTGAACTCTTCCGCTACCCGTCTTGCGACTGGTTCCAATGATTGTACCATCCGTATTTGGCATATTGGCGATCGGGAGGGATTTGTGGCAAGTTGTAAATCTCATACGTCTAAAATCACGTATGTTCCATCACCACTCACCTTATGTAACTCGTCTGGATATTATCTGCTATGTCTGTCAATATTTAGCTTGCTTCGATTTCATCCAGTTGAACCGTTTCTGTTTTCCTGTTCACTTGGTGAAGTCGATGTGATTGCTTGGAACACAGAGACGGGAGCGAAAGTGGCTACCTTGAAAGGACATCAGGGAAACGTTACGGATGTTGCATTCGCATCATCAAATGATCAGTTTGCAACGTATCTTCCACTATTTTTTCGCTAATACTGCATTTTTAGATGTGGTCACGACAAAGTGGTAATTGTTTGGTCCACTAAAACCATGAAACGAATCAAAACCATACCGGCATTTGAGGTAGGTTTTTCCGCCACTTTCAAGCTCCCGTTAGAGTCTTCAAGCTATCGTGTACCTCCCGTCTGGGTCTTTAAGAAACCACATTTCTTCAGAGGCAGATGGAAATAAAAGTTATCTCCTTACTGCTGGACAGTGGGGTATCATACGAGTATGGTGTACGGAGACCTCTCGTTGCGTTTTGGAAGTACGTGGCCCCACTAGCCATTCATCTGATTCAGCTGCCGTGAATAATCTCGACTTTGGTCTCCATTCCGTATCGCATCTTTCACTTTTTTACGTCTCTGCCTTTCCGGACAGTCCCCACATCTTGGTACTTTCTCGTAGAAGCAGTCACGTTGAATTTTACAATGCGGAGACAATGAAACTCTTTTATGAGGTTGGTTGTTTTCTTTTTTTGTATATTTTACTAAAAGTCTCATCTTTTACGCTTCTCTTCAGTTTATTGGTGAAATAGGATCAGTGGATCAGTTGTGCCTAATGGGCGCCTCGAAGAACCGTCTAGTTTTGACAGATGTCTCTCCAAATCTCAAACTGTTTTCAAATCCACCCAGTCCTACTTCAAATGGTTCGTGGTCATGTCAGCTGGTGCAAAGTCCACATACGGGTGTAATTGGCGACATGGCCGTCTCCAGTTGCGGTTCATGGCTTCTCACCGGCGGCCATGATCAAGCGCTTTGTCTGTGGCAGCTCGATGAACCAAAGGAAGCGGGGGGAAGGTTGCGGCTGTCATCGAAAGCGTGTACCCGAGAGGCTCATGATGCTCACATTTCGGCTGTCTCTTTTGCTAGGTTGGTTGGATGACTTTGAATTAGTGTTCTTTTGCGCTTATTCCTTTACTCAAGATTTCAACATTTGTGCCTCATTTGTTGTTATATAACTATTGCGCTTTTGTAGACTTAGGATATATCTAATGTGTGGATGTTTACTTAAGTGGCAATCTACACAGAGATTAAATGGTTTGGATAATCCTAGGTCCTGTCAGTTTCCACTGCTGTGATATTTTCCGAGCCTCAAATAACCTGCTCCGAATATATTCAAATGTTTCGCCACTTTGTGTAGGGATTCTTCGGCGGTGTTTTCAGCATCTACAGACGGCGTTCTCAAAACCTGGGAGCTTAATCTCGGGGATGTCGACAAGCCTGACGAACAACTCAACGTTTTTCAAGAGGGTCGCTCGGTTTGTGATGCGCATGATGGAGCTATTAACTGCATTCATGTCTCGATCAATGGTAGATTCTTGGCTACTGGTTCCCGGGACAAAACTGCCAAGGTGAGTGTCGTCTGTGGGCGTGTACTTATGTCTACGATTTTTGCGTTCGCTCCTATTATGATTACACTTAGATATGGTCTCTGGACGGTTTGATTGCCCGGAAAGATATGCAGCCGAAGCTGATTGGTTCGCTGGTCGGGCACAAGCGAGGTATTTGGTCTGTCCGTTTCTCTGATCACGAACGAGTATGTTTATGTTCATTTTTTTCTCACCTTCGCACATTTTTATTACTGATTGTTTTTCATTAGGTTCTTCTCACAGCTTCTGGTGACAAGGATCTGCGTCTATGGAGTCTTAAAGATATGACTTGCATCCATGTGGGTTGTTAAAACGGATTCTACTGGTATTAATACCGTTACTAAGTAAAAGTGCGTGCTCTTTGGTTTGCTTAGACATTCGAGGGCCACGAAGAACCTGTATATCGTGTAGAATTTATTTCAAAGGGTCGGCAGATCCTTTCCTGGTAAGCTTTACACTTGAACAACACCATAGCCTTTTTATTCTCGTGATCACTATGCAAAGCGAAAAGCCAAGCAGCTTTAATGCTTTGCTATTTAGTTCACTTTTCGTGGAAACTTAAAAATATGGAGTGGAACTGAAATAGTTGTGTCATTTCAAAAGGAAACCTTTAGGCTAATTTCAAATTACGTCTC